AAAAAAAAAAAAAAATGATTGATGTCATATACATACAATAACACTTAAATTAACTGAAAGCAAAAAGTTCGTTATTGCAACTTAACAAAAATTAGAAATGTATATTATGAAAACATCAATAATGTGTTTGTTATTGTAATAACTTACAAAATTAGAAATATATATTATGAAAACATCAGCAAGGATACAGAACAGAAAAACAAAAGTAAAAACATCTTTCAAACAACATAAAAACAACTATCTATAAACAATAAAACGTAAAATCTATGTGACTGAAATCTTGATGATTTTGACAATCCAATCTATTCATTTCACGGCGATTCAGTCTTGATTTCATGTCTCCACTTGATTTTATTATAGTAGAATATAATCATGTCAATATTGATTTTTAAAGAAAACCATAAAGGCAGAAAAAAAAATATATATATATATATATGTGCTTCAAATATTTTAAAGAGATATGTTCATGAATTCATGAAAAAAAAAAGTATGAAATGCACCAAATCTTCTGCAGAAATATGAACCAGTATTGAGGAAAAAAAAAAAAAAAATTAATCATGATAATTATACTAAATACGATATATATCAAGTTACTAAAAGAATAGTGCAATCATAGCTACGTTTCTTCACTTTCACATAACATCCAACTCGGCGACGGAAGAAGAGAAATTGGGAGATGAGATTTTGGGTATGCGAATGAAGAAGAAGAGCCTATGATGAGATTTCACATAACATACCCGAACGGCTTGGTGCGACCTGGATCGTCTTCCTCGTGATTGATGACCTTCAATACTTTCACAAACTCAATGCTAGGGAGTTTTCCGGTGTAGAGCCTATGATGCTTAAATCAGAACACGGAAATAAGATGATGAACAATAGCAAAGTACTGTAAGTAATTATGTAGAGAATATAATGTTGTTATGGGCATATCTCACTCTCTAATTATATAGGGATGTGTTACCTTGTTACCCAAGATTGCCCGTTTGGTTTCCTAGATTGTCCGCGCTACCCGTTCATACTACCCAATTTCCTTAGGCCACGTGATCCTATTCACATGTTGGTTCATATCTTAATAATATTTTTTATTATCCATTAGTATGCTTTATTAGATGGTCTAATCGTGCGAGCGACCGAAATCACCTCAAAATGGAGTTTTGCCTTTACTGCATTCGCATGTGCGGCTCATCTGGTCGATTCGTTGATCAGTCTTGCCTTCAGGTCGAGTTTCCACCAGGCCATAGCTCAACCTGCCAGTGCTCTTAAACCTACGATATCCTCTTCGACCTAAGGACTCATTGTAGCTCCCTTTGACTTCCATTCGACCACCTGGTTTGCCCGATCCGGTTGGCTGATTTGTGGGCTCTATTAAACCCGATGTACTATGCCATTTCATCCGATCCTCCATACTCGTATCTATAGATAACTCGATTTAAGGTTAGATTTCTGTTTTTGTACTTTTCTTGATGCATTACAACTCCCATTAGTCGTCCAGGTTGTTCGAACTTCCTATAACTCAGTCGAAATGTTTTCTAGCTTTCTCTGTGGCAATTCGAATTTTGAAATTCAAATCTCTGCCTTTTGTCAGGTTAGACAGCCCTAACGTCTTGTCGACATAACCGCCACGTGATCTGAATTTTCTTCGTACAACTTACCCATTAAATGCTTCCTTAATTGCGACAATTCGATCTACCTTTAAATTGAGGATTGGGAACATGTTGTCTTTTCAACTCGCCCATATGATTATGGCCAATGATTTCGACTAGGATCCAACAAATCTGCACAACAAGTCCTTTCGCCTTCACCCCTTTTGATCTTGTCTGTTTATTTCAACCACGATCCAACGGTTGTACTTTACTTGTGTTTTCAACTTGCTTGATTTGTCTTAACCGTTGATTTCCACCACGATTTAACGGCCAGGGTCAATCGACCCTCAGGTTCTTCCATCTATAAATACGCCCCTTTGTCAAATTTTTCCGGTTTCACCTTTGTGAAAATACTCTCTATATTGCTTGTGATTGTTGGGATCGTGAAGATCGTCGTATTGTGCAAGTCATGAATCAAAATCTACAATTTAAACTTATGCGCAGTGGAACTAAGGTTTAGCATAAAATACATACGTCTTAAAATTTTTGCCCACGCTGAGACGTTTCTGACTTCCATTGGTGGAGATCGACTGAACCTCTCATCGGTGTTTATCCCATTACAATTTCCTTAGCACTCCTCGCGGTGTCCGAGATGCACCCTACATCGTCTTGAGATTCGCACCATGGTCACTAGTTGATCGGCGTCACCGAAGGGTTGCCGGAATGTCGTTGGACAATTAATGGTCGCTGGAGATTGCTGGTGGTTGCTGGTTGCTGGTGCATAGGTGTGCCCGTTTTGTGCGCACTGCACAGACTGCTGGTGGCTTGGGGTCGCCCGCTTGCGTCCTAGGTATCTGATGAGAATAAATGTTTGACGCCAATGGACGCGAAGGTTCGAGAGCTGAGGCGACTGAAAGAGGCCACGCGAAGGCGCGAAGCAACGTGTTTATGGCCAAGGAGACAAGCACGAGCTCGTATGCAAAACGCGCAAGCACAAAGAAGAAGACGCGAACCCAGACGAGCAAAGAAGTGCATGCCTGAGAGAACGCGCATATGGAAGCGCAAGGTATTACGCATGTAGCCGTACAGGCGCAAGACATCGCAAGGTGAGCGCGCACGTAAAGACCGCAAATGACCACATGCTGCAACAGACGATCACGCTGTAATAGGACGACGCGCGACAGTATGCGTAAGGGCGACGAATGAGTGATGCATGGGCGACGTTCGCGTGAGACTGGGCACCACACATACGAGGCACATGTAGTGTGGGCGAGGTAGTACGACCGACGTGCTGCTGGCCGAGACCTACCTGCACCTGGCTGCAGAGGGTCTGGGAGCAAGCTGGCTGCCGGTGACTTGCGGACCAAGTCGAAAGATCTTCTAGAATATTTGGATGATCTTATGAATCTTATTGTAGTTCTTAATATTGTTCGCTAGTATATTTAAGTATGATTTTGTTAGGTGCCTTAAGGATTTTAGATAAGGATTCTGGTTATTTATTTTCTATAAATTTAGGAGTTAATTTTTGTTAGGATTAGTCTATGCTTCTATAATTGTAATTTGTTTTAAAAGCATTGAAGATAATAGGAAATTTTCTTTCAATCAAACTCTGGTATGTTAGAATTCTTGTAAGATTTATCATATAACCGTGTAGCAAGAAGCCCCTTTGCGCGCCCTTCAACATAACTATCCCCGAGAATAAAGGTCGTCTGCGCTTTCTTCGAAGTAAACTAAGATATTGAGATACAAGATCTTCATCAGTCTCCTGGTATGCAGACAAGGGCCCTGCACTACGTTTGAGCGATGAGGTCGCTGAGAACGCCAGGTTTCATATACGATATGCGCGACACCCAACATGTTCATTGAGAGATCCCAGATCTTCGTTGAAACTCTGTGGGACATCGTCGATCGTCATCGGATGATCGCCGACGGCTTTTGGACTGATTATGGGGTTTAATATATACTCCCTCCGTTTTGTTTTAATTGTCGTTTGAGTGTAAATTCTTTTTTGCTTATTAATTGTCATTTTGGTTTTTTGGATAACCATGAACTACTATAACTTCTCAAAATTCATTATCGATAACTACAAATTGAGGAGGAGAGAGAAAGCATTACTAAGATTTAGGAGAGTTAAAGAGATGTAGAATGACAAGATAACTACTTCCTTTAAATGCGTAATTTTGTTTTTCTCAACTAGAACGACAATTAATGTAAAACAAAAGGAGTATTTATTTTTGGGCTCGGATTACCTCGGATCTTCTGCTGCAACTCTTTAGTTTTTATACGTGCGCAACAAGATTTGAGAGAATCTAGATTAGAAACTAGGGTCGTCTGCCATGTATGTGTTTATGCGTATGGTGTTTCTCAATCCCAAAAGATAATGGTGTTTATATAAAGCTACGACGGGGACCCTAAGAAGATGATAATGTGGGCTTCTAAAGTCTTGAACCTAACTGTGGGCCATTCCCACTCTGCTCAATGACTTAGATAATCAGGACTTCAGGCCCCGACGTCATCATCACTGATGCCGACACTCCTGGCACCACAGTGACCTCGCGACTATCACTAACCTGCTCTCAATAGCCTTTTTCCGTGAATCAAAAGCATCTCTGTTCCCCCCATCGCTCAAGAAATATTTGACAAAACTACCAAAATAAATTCTCCTAAATCAAAGAAACCAGAAACGACAACGAAGGATGAAGACAACACTATGAAGAAGAAAAATAAGAAAAGACGATTGCCAAAAAGAACTTTCTCCAACGAAGAGGAATTCACGTCCCCTAATATATGTCATCTGAAACCCCTGATCCGCACACTAACTGCATTAAATTGACAAATGAGATGATTCAAGAAAAGAACCACCTTTTACACGCTAGAGGGTTCGTCATCCC